CAATGTTTTCTTTATTTTTACTTAATTTTTGGGTTATTGATTTGACAAGATTGGGATAAGATAAAAAGAGGTATGGATGTAATTGAAATACCTTGTAAGTTGGTGGACTTTAAACAATAATTCTAACTTGTAATGCTAAGACTTTACAGAAAGCTGCAACTTTAGACAAAAGCCACTGCCTTTGTAACCGAACAAATAATTGGGCGTTTTTCCGGAAATATCACCCTAATTCTATATATTTTCTTGTCAGACACCGTTCAGATTATATTTTCTGATCTAACACCCTTTGCAGGAAGACATGTCTCTGCACCGCACCTTACAAAATGTGTAAAAAACTCGAATATTAATTTTGTAAATATTTTTAAATGGGTGTCAAATATGTAATTAAGTTCTATTATGGTGACATTTGTGTAAAAATGTCAGTATTTTTAATTGGTTGAGTTTATTATTATTTTAGTATGTCACAAGTTTATTTTTTATAATAATAAATATTTTATAATTTAAAAAATTATAAATTTCATACATTTTTAAAAAAATTATTACCTTTTAAAATTAATTGTTTATAAATAGAAAAAAATATTAAAATAAACTTTTAATTACAATTGAGTGATCAAATGAATTATTATTCATTAAATAACTAAGGCCACTCGATACTAAATTCGCTTAATAAAATATAATAATATTCATCCTAGATTTATCATAATTAAATGATAAAATAATAATAAAATTTATACGCATGTAAAACGATATTTATTTTTAGAGATGAGATATATGACAACTGTATTCAAAATACGCCAGTCGTGCTCCTCTGTCCATTCTTAGGAGTTTTTCCCGAAATATCACCTTAACCTTATATATTTTTCTGTCAGACAGCGTTCAGATTATATTTATAAGGAATACTTATTTATAATTTTTATTAATCATTAAATATATATATATATATATATATATATATATATATATCATGTAGACATAGTTTGAAGTAATTATTTATAATTTTATTAAAAATGAATAAACATTATTAATTTTTGTTAAAAAATAAAAATTAATGAATAATAATTCATTTAATCCTTCAATTGTAATTAAAAGTTTATTTTAATATTTTTTTCTATTTATAAACTATTAATTTTAAAAGGCAATAAATTTTTAAAAATATATAAAATTTATAATTTTTTAAATTATAAAATATTTATTATTATAAAAAATAAACTTCTAATACACTAAAATACTAATAAACTCAACCACTACATACACTGCCCACTTCATTAACTTGTGATAAAACTCCAGCTAGTTCACAACCTGGCGTGCCTTGTGTGCGGTGTCTCCACAATTCAAAATATTGACGGTTTTACACAAAAGTCACCATAATATAACTTAATTACGTATTTAGCACCCGTTTAATAATATTTATAAAACTAACACCCGAATTTTGTACACATTTTGTAAGGCGCGGTACAGGGGCGTGCCTTCAACCACGTGGCGTAAAGCGCGGTGTAGGGAAACACCTTCCTGCACAGGGCGTTAGATCAAAAAATATAGTCTGAACAGTGTCTGACAGGAAAATATATAGGGTTAGGGTGATATTTCGAGAAAATGCCAAATAATTGTACCGTAATGTTTTTTTTATGGGGTTGTGCTCGAATTAGTTATGATTAGGGATTATCATTAAATATGACTAGTTTCATTTCGTCTTATAAAATCAAATTATTTTTCATAAAAAATTGAAGTTCTAATTTATTCATATTAAATTTTTTTAAGGGTCAAAATTATGAATTTCTCATTAAACTAAAGGTTTAAAGGACTAAATTTAATTATTGATATAGAGATTAAAATTACTATTTTCTGGCAAGTGAAATGGTTAACAAACCTGGAAGGTGATTGGAGATATGAGAAGGAGGCTCTAGAGAAAACTCCACACCTTAGGACTGTTGGTAGCGTGTCATGGAAGATAAGACTCGGTCCTTTACTCTCTAAGGAACGAATATTTATAGTGCCATGGAAATGTGTCATTTAAGAGCCGTCATGTCTCTGATTCCGACTAGATATTCTAAGGGTACACTGTTCAGACTAAGAAGTCGCAAGTATCGACAAATGGTGGCTGGTGATGTAGCAGAGGTATGTTCACAGGAATATTGGGTGGTTGACATGTGGCTGTTTGCTGAATGCTCTTACTCGAGTTCGAAAGTTCACATGATATTGCATTCACGTCCCTTAAGTTCCATGTTAGAGGTGTGACCGCTATTATGAAAGATCTTAGGAGAAGAGGCTCACTTATATGAGGGTGGCATGGGTAAATAGTAACACTATTCTACCATTAAACCTGCCTCTCCTGGATTCGCCACTACAAGTCTACAACTAGCTACCTTGGCTAACAGCTAACCAGGGCTTTTCATGTGGTTTGAGATGTAAAAGAAACACCATTTAAGTCTTGTTTTTTATTAAACTTGTAGCAAATCTAAATCATGAACCTCGTGGGTCAGACTTTAGTGTTTAGTCATAATCGTCACGGATGGTGCGCATTTAGTATTAATGGAACTGCATAAATATTTAGTCAATGTTCCAAATCCCGCTGGCACCAATGACAGTACAATTGTTGATTCCAAACGGTTTATGGAGAATTCCATTCTTGATTTCAAATTGTTTAGGGAGAATGCCGATGACAATACAATTAGGGACAGACGCAAGATTTTATATTAGGTGTGAATTTATAAAATTTTAAGTATAGGAAAACTTATAAATTTTAAGGGGACGAAAACACATTTTCAATAAAAATATATAAAATATATAAGAATTTTAAATTTTAAGGAGAGTGACCGCCCCGTATGTTCCTCTAAGTCCATCCCTGAGTACAAAGTGATTTCAAATCGAGTACAAATATTTTAGGAACACAATATCGATGATTAGGGTTGGACATCTTATATCAATTATCATCTCATCCAATCACTGTTTTATTATTTCTAAGATCTTGTATGGCTTACATACTCTTATCAATCATATTTCTAGCACATAACTTTAAGATTTATTCATATTGTATTTATCATAATATAATCAGTATTATATTAATACATTTATTTAGCATTCATAGAATTTATGCATGTATTCGCTATAATAGTTGTAGATTACATGGAATCCTTGTTACATCAGGTAATATAAATAACAACAATAATAATAAGATATCCAAAATCACTTCGCATCTAGTATAGTGTGCAATATGTTATGATACCTTGAATCACGACGCATTAGATATTATAGACGATATGCTATGTTACCTGGGATAACTACGCATCATGTAACATACGAGGAACTGATATATAAAATCATTACGCATCAGATACCAGAAATCTTGACTATCTGAACAGTCTAACACATACAGACATACCACAAATACAAATAGGTACTCGTAGGCATCCATAATCACATTGCATTAAAGGCTAATCACCATAATACATGTCTCACATTTACAACCATTATTCATAAGCAAGGTTCAAGCCTTTTATCACAATTCATCATACATGTCATTCTCATTTTATAGCTTATCAATTGATAGTACATCATGTAAAATAATATATTAGTCCTTTAGTAGCCGCTGACCCTTGTAGTAGAAGTATTTTGATCATGTTTATCATTTCATGAACTAGGATCCTTTTCTAATCTTGTTCATTCATTTCATGGCGATCTGTGGATATTTGGGTGTAACAGAAGATGTTTCTATTCTTCCAATATAGATACTTAATTAGGGAGTATGGATACTCAATGTTAAAAGTAATGACCAGGAAATACTAAAATACCTCATTATCATATATCACATTTAATTTACAAACTAAGTATTTATATACACTACTGTTGAATAAGCTAAGCAAACTAACTAACCACCATCTAAAAGAATAACACACTCCACTCAACTAGGGACCACATATATTTTAGTATCGATACTTATTCAATGATTTCGATATCAAAGGAGTATCAATACCAAATTGATGGTAACACGTGTCAACAAATTAACTCTCAAATCATGTGATGACACGTGTTATAATCAATTGACATGTGGCATCTCTTTATTGGAGGGATAATTTTTTGAATTAAATTAGAATTAGGACTAAATTGTTAGAACGTGTAAGTATCAAGGACCAAATATATAATTATACCAATTTTATTAACTGTCACCTTAACACTTCCGTCAAATGTTAATAGTAGGTGGCTTGATTGAAACCACTTAAATAGTTATGTGGTTATATTGTCAAAATTGAAGTATAGTGGTCATATCAACACCAACCATATTGTTAAGTGATCATTTGGATAGTTTACCTTTTAATTTATTGTTTTCAATTAAGTCCTTATTTTACCTAATAAAAATGAATATATATATATATATAGGTCGAATTTTGACCTAAAAATCACGTCAGATTTTAGGTTGGGTGAGACGCTCCTAAGCCCGAATCGAGTCAAATGCAAATGGAAATATTTAATTGTCTGATCAAATTCAGATGGACCAAAAACTCAACCTAACCCGACTCATGGTAATCCTACTCTGGGTACTATGTCCGAATTACATGTGAAAATGGTGGAGCAACAATAATGTTAAAAACAAATCTTGAAATGTAAAAACAACCCATTCTACTTCTTCAGTCACCATCCTCACGGATTGTGTTTAGTTCAATGGACATTTTTGTTGTCTATTATAACCAAAACACAGTGTGTTTTTGGTACAGTCCTTTTTGCTGCCTTAGTTCTTGTTGTTTTCAACAGCAAATCATGATGATTTACCGTCACCATTATGTATTCAAACATCAATTATAGGTCTCTATCTTCTGAAATCACCATCGCTCCACTAACCATAACGTTTGTCTCTTACCTATGAGTCAATCAAATAGACATAATGTTGAGGGATAATTTTTTTTTTGAAAATATATAATTAGGACTAAATAGAGAAAATGTGTAAACGTTGAGGGGTAAACGTGTTATTATATCCATATAAAAATGGAGAAAAACATCAACTTATACGGGCAATATGAACGTCTAAAGGGAAAAATCACAGTTACATGCCATGCCATGTATGAACTCATCACTTCACCAGTGGCAATGTTGATTCTTATTATTCTTTTTTCATGCAACCAGAAGAACAGGAAAAAGAGTTATCTAGCTCTGCAATTCCCAAACATATTACTAAGACTTCGGACTGGTGCTTCGACGATTAAATCTAGAGAAACCGGGGGATTTAACCGAACTGAAGTTTTTAACTAAAGGGATCAGTGACTGTACGACGTCAACCATCAAAGGTCGATAATCGGCTTCCGGTTGCACACACATCGCAGCAATAGCAGCCACCTGTAGAACATATAAGGGAAGATATATCACAAGTTAAGCACCAGCCATGGGTGAAGCTGTTCAATTTGATGATATATACTGACAGTAAACGTCACCTGAACTAGATCCTTCTTGGTATACTGTCCTTGTATTGCTGGATCAACCATTTCTTCCACTTTGTCTCTGTTTGTTAATCTTGGAAGTGCCTGTCAAATTATCAGAAGTTGGAACCATAACTTAAAACAATTCTTAGAGGGGGCAAGGAATATACCCATGAAACTAGGACATGTTCTCCGGGAGGCCGCTTGATGTCGACCGGGACTCGACCGGTTAAAAGCTGTAAAAGCACTACTCCGTAGCTGTAGACATCTGATTTTGTGGTGAGCTTGCCTGTTGATGAATATCTGCAAATTTATAGAAAAGAACAAATTCATAAGATTCTGAATTTTGTTCCTAGATAGGCATTTAATGCAAAATCATTCTCCAAATGGTCCAGGGGTATGGAGTTTTTCTCTTCTCCCAAGCAACTTTATTAAATAAGAAAATGACAGCCGCCTAATAAGGACCTTTGGTTGCATATTCACTGGTATGGCACTGATAATATGCATGTGCATGAGACATGATTTGAGGCACTCACTCTGGAGCTATATATCCTGTGGACCGCAGAGTGCGTGTCGAAATCTGACCGTTGATCTTATCCGACCCCATTTTCGCCAATCCGAAATCGGACACCTTGGCTCGCAGGTGTTGGTCTAGTAACACATTGGTGCATTTAAAGTCACGGTGGATAACAGTAGCATGCTCATGGAGGAACTCAAGGGCTCTGGCACAATCAAGGGCTATCCTTAACCGGCTTCCCCAATCCAACAGCTGATATTCGTTGCCAGGATGATGAAGATGCTGTTGCAGGGTACCATTGGGCATGAATTCAAAAATCAGAAGCCTATGATGCTGGTCAGCACAGTAGCCTAATAGCTCCACTAAAAAAGGAGAGTCTAACCGGCTTAGCAGATCCACTTCCATCCTGAAAGAACGCTCCCCTTGTTTTCGGTCACGGTGAAGCTTCTTAATGGCTGCCACAGTTCCATCAACAAGGACCCCTTTATACACGATGCTCGACCCTCCGTTTCCGATCACATTTGCTTCACTGAAGTTATCGGTGGCCAATTCGAGCTCCTTGTAAGTGAAAACTTGCACCCCTCTACATCGACTTATAGCAGGTTTACGCATACTTCCTCCATATAAACAATTCGCCTTCACATCTGCTCCATTTCGCATCTGTTAATGGTGTGCGTTTCAAATTATGCATATTACACGAGTTTCAAAAACGGGTACTTACCTGGACTAGAGTTGAAGTATATGACAGTATGAGCAACGAAGCTGAAACTGGGATTGTGGATGCCACCATTACTTTCTTTGCAACTACCGCTTTTTCGGACAGATTTTAGTCTACGAAGCATTACTATAATCAGAAAGCCGGCGAGAATCAGGAGAAGCGAGACGATTGATACGACAATTACGATGATCGAGTTCAAGGGAAGGATGTTGGTGGTGCTATGTAGATGGCTTCTAGATGTATTAGAATGGAAACGACTATGCATGTGATCATAGCCAAGCTCTGGTGGCATTGAAGTAGCACTACTAGTTTTGCTGCTACTATCATCCATGAAAAGCAAATTAGCAATATATTTGTAAACAAAAAAGAGGGAGTAAAAAGAGTAGAATGAAAGAGAGATAAGAGAGCATTAAAGGTGATGGGAATTGGGTAAGGTTTTTACTGGAGAAAGGGAAGTTTGCCTTCCTCGGAGGTCAGACTAACTGATATGTATGGCCAAAAACCAGCTCTCTCTCTCATCTCATTCTTCCTTGTGATAAAGGTCATCAAACAAGTGTGTTTATGTACTTCATTCGTCCATTCTCTTGTTATTTACTATGGAATTGTCATTGTCAATTGTATCAGACTAGCATCTGAATGTCTTTGGCCACCATTTCACATCGGTTTACTCATTGGATCCCAATCATTTGCTAATAATCGACCTTTAAACAACTTTGCACCCTTGATTACTGTTTCGTAACCCTTAAAAGAATATTGTTGATAGGAACAAAATGGTTTCGTCAGCCATGAACGATTTACTATTTTAATTTGAGTAGAAAGTCGTTGCGGTGAGAGAACAATTGTTGATCAATGTTTTTGTAGGAAAAAACATTGGTCATGGAGGATGGAGAAGAAGAAAGAGAAGGGCCATCGTAAAGGGTATCTGCCCCCTCCTGGTTTGAGTCCAGAGGTTATTAATATTGTACATTAATGCAAGTGACAACCGTAGGATCATTATGATTATTAGTAGATTGATAGACTATGTAAATCTGGTAGTCAGACCTTGGATTTTACACTCAGGGATTATGTGGGTATGTTATTTGAAGGAAGGTTCTTTGGAGGCTCAAGTGGTCGGAGTGGCCGGCCTAGAACTTCTGATTGGCGAGAGCTAGTAGTTTCCGGAGGCATGACATGGATCTATAACAAATATCATATATAGTACTGCCAGCTAGAGGAAAAAAATCATAGATATGAAGTGTTCGATCTCGTTTTAGTTCTAAGTTCATTTTAAGTAGTTTGTTTGTATTGAATTTCTTAGAACATGTTTGGGGTTTGTTGTAGGACTGGGTTTGGGTTTGTGTGATGTTCGGCTTTGTGTTTATTGAATCTTACTACCTCTACCACCTCAAGGCACACTATTTTCCCTCATTTAAGATTAGGGGGATTTTTTAATGAGGTCTTCGAGATGATTTACTTTGTAAACGTTCGTAATACAAAATATCCACTTTCAAAAAAAAAATCTGAAGATGAGTTGGCCCCCAAGAAAGAGAGGCCATGCTGGATTTTGTCACCACCAACCAAATTGTAGTTTGAACATATTAGCAGGAAAATTAACCGAAATGGTCTAACCAGATGAGTCAGGGCTCAACTAAAGCTTCCTTCAAAGGAATCTGAAATGGAAAGCATTGGATATGTCGGGGCACGCAGGAAAATAGGATTAAAACATGGCACACAAGAGCACCAAGCCATAAACAGCAATGGCTGCATAGAATTCAGTGAAACCGTGAAATGAAATATTGCTGAAAACAATCTGCATGCAATTATATGAACTGAAAGTTGAGTAACTATATGACATATGTAGCTGTCTTCAACAGTGTTTTTGCATGTGAGAATGTGACCTTTTACCATTGCCTTTGAATCATGGTTTTTCAGAACCGGACCGGTTAGCGAATCGGTCATACTACCGGTTCACTGGTTCAATCGGTCGAACCGATCTGACCGGTCGGAAGAAACGGAAGACGTCATAATTATTTGAAAAATTAAATAAAAATACCAAAAATATTTAATAAAAAATAATTTTTTATATCACAAGTCATATTCAAAGCAAGTCATAACATTTATAAGTTAAAAACCATAAAATCAAGTGAAACAAAATGATTCAAATTAACTACAACATAATATTTAAGGTAAAACATATTAAATAATAAATATAATTACATAATTATAATTAAAAAATAAATTTAGGGTTAAAAAATCATAACAAAATGATATTGTTTGGTTTAATTTTTTTAAAAGACAATCTCACATGGCTAAGAAACATAGAAGAGCATCCCAAAAGTCTAAAGAGTAAAAATATGAGAACAAAACAATCTCACATTGCTAAGAAACATAGAAGCGCGTCACAACTAACTTCTATAAATAATAGAGGTAATTTGGCATTCAAAATCATGGAGCCTTTTGGTGAGCATTGAGTGAACTATTCTTTCACTTCAATCAAGCTCGATTTTTAGGCTTCAATCGAGCTTTTAATTTTTTTTTGAGTTCAAGCCTTTTTGAGTTCAAGTTTCAATATTATATTTCGAGTTTGAGTTGAACTTGCTAATTTTTAGCTTGTGAGTTTGAGTTGAGTTGAGCTTACTTTTAAAGTTTTTAAGTTCGAGTCGAGCTCAGCAATACTCGAGTTCGACTTGGCTCGTTTAACAAATGACATTGTTTGGTTTAATTTTTTTTTTTAAAAAACAAAAATCCCGGGTTTTCCCGGTTTTCAGCCGGTCCGGTTCGAACGGTTCAACGGTTCTAGCCGGTTCACTAATAGCGGTTCAAACCGGTTTAGATTGAACCGGACTAAGCAACGATTCCCGGTTGAACCGGCCGATCCGGTCCGATTTTCAAAACATAGCTTTGAATGCTCAATATCTAAAAGGCTCTCCCTTTCATATGTATATGACACCAAACCCTGAAAATCATGTGACATTATCTGTTTTGCTGATGAATACAATCAGTACTTCACTGATTACTAATTGTAATAAAACATTAGCACATATATACTCTCTTGTATGCTTAATAAAAAAAAAAGCGCCTAAACTCCACCCAGGTCAAAATTTTCATATTTTTACAAGGTAGAAGTGGCTAGTTTTATTTAAAATAAAAAAAATATTTAAATTACAATAAAAGTTCACTAAAAGATATATTGCAGAAGAAATCTTTGGGTTTAGGCCCATTGGGTTTATTAAATGGAACATCAAAATGCCCGCTACTGCAATATTGAGCAATAAAACATAGCATGAGGTTTTACCCAGTCCTTAGTTTTGTTTTCCGTAAATTTTCTGCATAAGGTTAGGCCTTCTCACTTTCTTATACCATATACACTCCAATCAATCTTCTGAAATACCAAGAAATTTGGCTACTATTGCAGCATCTGCTGGTGAGTATTCAAGGAGACACAGCGTCTGAGAGGATGAGCACAACAAACTGCAGGGTCTCAAATATGAACAGTTGGCAAACCAAAGAAAACCATAGATTTTATTTTGCTAGGAATGTAACAAAATCTAACCATGTTTCTTAGATCTTGTCATATCTGGAACAGGTTAGTGTCTCATCTCCTGCTCACTATCCATGTCCCTCTTTTAAGGCTTGTGGAACAGGAAAGGCAGACAGAATATTTGCAGTACAAGCAAGCAAAAGAAAAAAGATGCTTGGAATTTCTTAAAGTTTATGGTGACAAGGGGGACAAAAGTGAAACCCCGTCTTTGAGATAGCATGTTAAAGTGAAAAAGAAACTGAATCTTTGTTGGGATTGTTCTTTTCATTACAGCAGAAATGTTGGCATCGATTCCCATGTCAGCTGCAGCATTTGAATAACTTGAGAACCCCTTATTTTTCTCTCTCACACACAAGTACTGTTTATTGTTTAAGCTACAATTCCACCTACAAACAGGCCAATGGTCTAAAGAGAGAGGAAAAGGACTTGTCTTTCATGTCTATTTTATTCGTATTCAAAACTCGTTTATTATTCATTTATCTCACTATTTTTAATCTATAGATTCAAAGATCATATTCCTAAAGAAAGATTATATGATTTGTGCATTACCTACAGTGAAATTAGGTAACAGGAGGACATCAAGCTTCTGTTCTATCCTCGAGGATTATCTGTAAACATCACCAAAAGAAAGGTCAGTGCATGTACAGTCAATGGGTAGTGGAACACTGGATTAGTTGGGAATTAATTAATATCACCTCAAACAAAATAAAACAGGTTCAAAATGCTAGCTACCTAGCCATGGTTCATGGTCATGGGTCCAACACGGGGCTGAACCACTGAACCTTATCAAATTGCTCACATTTGGTTGTCACCACACCAACCATACCACAAATCTTATCTGAAATAAGAGGCTGGGAGTCACATGAATGCCTTATTCTCGAGTTCATAGAAAGTATTTTATAATTTGGAGTTCTTCTACGAAAATTGTTCTCAATTTAATATTGTGGATAATCTACTATCTTACCTCTCTTTATCGTATTATATAAGAACAAGAAGAAAAAAAGTGACTGTAACGGGGTACTGGTAGTCTAATAATGCCCATTGTTTAGGGGGAATATGGGGACCTTCAGAGCTTGTCTAATCTCATAAAGGGTCACTGCCCTTGAATGGGTTTATTGGGGAATGTCTCAGGAAAGGCGGGTTAATATACGGCTAATATACAGCATTACCGGATACATTAAAATGTATTTAATAAATTCGGTTTAGCGGTACCTATTATGTTGACAACTAATAATGTTTTAGGTAGAAAATATGAAAAACTATTAAAAAATTTGGTAACCGGTAAACTTTGGTTATCGGTAAGTATCTATCCTTTTTATAAAAGTGTCCATACGTTTAACATATCAAGTAAATTTTACCGGTTTTGTCATAATGAATCTGGTTTTGTCATATTTTTACCTGTTATATTGTAAATTATCTATCCTTTTTATAAAAGTATCCATACTTATTTCACTGTGAAAATATATTTATTATTATCTTTAGTTAATATTGTTAAATTTAAAATCTAAATAATATTTTATAAAATATCAAAACAATCAAATAATTTTTTGTGTAAATGAAATTATTAAATTAATATTGTAGGTGGAAAACATGAAACACTATTAAAAAAATTGAAACATAAATTACATAACTTTCAAAAAAGTATATATCATTTTTATAAAAGTGTCCATACTTATTTCACTGTTGAAACATATTTATTATTATATTTGGTTAATATTGTTAAATTTAAATTCTAAATAATATTTTATAAAATATCAAAACAATCAAATAAAATTTTGTGTAAATTAAATTA